TTTTGCATATTGGCTTATATAATTTTATTATTAATTCCTTTAAGGTTTTATTGTGAAAAATTTATTGCATGAAAAGTATCATCATATTCACTATCTCGACATGAATTACTTGGTAATAGTGCATGTAAACAGAGGATTTTATAAAGATGTAGTGTGAAATGTACATAGAGAAATTATTTTGAGAGAATAGAGAAAATCATGAAATGGAAGCAGTACCTTTTATTTTAAAAAGATGCTGAACACATATTTTTTGTATTTGTCTTAGTCATAGGTACATAATTGTTCAAAGTACAATGTCTAGAAGATTGGCTAATATTTTTCTCCTTTTCAATGACTAAAAAGTACTAAAGTAGCAGCTCAACCCAAAATACCTGGTAATCTTATTAAATATGCAAATGATTTGGTAGATCCTCACTACAGTCATCTTTTTAGAATGGCTAACAATTGAGCTATATTTAAAGATTTTGTTATGGGTAGTCCTGCAGATGCTGGATTCATAATTGTATTTATTTCATTATCATTAGAAAAGTAATTTAATTTAAAGGTTTGTTAAAAACATAAATTTAAGATGTAAACCTATTCCTTTTAAACATAAATCTTAATTTTAGCATTTTAACGTCTGTTCAAGAAATACATATAGATGCCACATTTAAAAGTTGCCCACTTACTTTATCAACAAAACAATTGTTCATTATTAATGCCATGTACATTAACCAGATAAATTTGTTTAAACATTAATAAACATAACGTTATATTGTATTCGGTTATACTAACTTTTTGTAAACTATGTAACTATTTTATTTATTTTAACAGGTATTCTCAGTGGCATATATGTTGAATCTTGATGATATGTAAAACTGAAATGGCCTACAGGAGTGTGTTTGATCATAAAAAAAGATGTGTTCAAGAAATCATAACAATAAATATTGTAACTAACTACAAGGTAAAACTCAGTAATGCATGAATCAATTTGTCCTGGTACTAGATTACAGAAATGCTGGTTGCATATGGCCCAAGATTTCCTAAATAATTGAAATTTTAATCCTGTTAGGTAAAATATAGAATCACATAAAATAATATTCAAATTAAAATAAATTTCAAAGACACTAACTTTTACAATAATTAGACTTTTGAAAAGAACACTTAAGACTTTGGTATGCAAAGAAAAGTATAAAGAACTAATGATGCACTGGATAATAAGTTCAACATATGAAAAATTGGTCTAGGGCTGAATTTCAATGAGAGAATTTCTTTCGTATACTGGAAATTTGACTTATTATACAAATATAAAATATAAAAAAAAAATAAAAAAATGAAAACACAAACTTGCTTGCCTTGTGGGCACAAGTATTTGTGTTCTAACTATGTGGATTGAGGGTTTTATCTCTAGACGGCCTCTTTTCTCATACTATATTATCATCTCTTATTTTATTCTATTTGCTTATTGTACATATTACAGATTTTAAATTCCTTATTTTAATAATAAAAGAAAAAAAAACTGTAGATCAAATATAAAACTGATGTCTAATTTGCAATAGTATGATCATAAACATATGTTTTTATAACTTAATAGATATCTGTTCTATATTTTATTAATTTAAACTTGTAAACATAAATGATAACCATCTTTTGTTATGGTTTAATAACTTAATTTCCTTAATGTGTAGTTAAATAATTTAATGCTTTAAATTATTTAATAATATATTCTTTGTGTAATACTGAGTTATAATAGTACTAAATACTCTAATATTATCACAATGTACCTAAAACAAATTTTATTTCATTTATGTGTGAATATATTTAATAATGATATATAATCAATTAAATTTTTTATTATTTGTATGATGATTTTTCATTAAGAGTACAATACATGTATTGCCTCAGTTTTCCAAACACATAACATAGCAAATTTTATGTTCTGAAAAACTCATTCCAACTCATTTATGCTTAATATTACAAACAATTTACCTCTAATAAAATTTATTAATTTTAAAACAATATCTGATGAACCTAAAATATTTTTTTGTATAATAATTTTAAACCAAGTTATTAATATTATAAAATTGACAAACAACTTAAAAATATTAAAATGTTTATAACTTGCCTTAAAATTAAGATTTAAAAAAAGTCTATGATATTCTTTATGTAATATTCTTACTTTTAAATTTGATGATAGGTAAATTAACTGTAATGTTAAGTATAAATGAGTTGAATGAATTCTTCTCAATGGTCAATTCGCAATGACATAAGTTTGTAAGACAGAGATAATGTATTGAGGTGTAGTGTCCTCTTAACTTTATAGTAGTATACTTACTTAATGGAAAATTAAATGGTAGACTATGAAACAATTACATACCTATTATACTCTTTAAATGAATATTTTTAGCCTAAAACTACTTAATATTAATAGTTCTATTATTTACAGGACTTTTTTTAACAACTAAAATAATTTTACTTTAGTTTAAAAAAAAATATATTCTTTTTTTAAGGGCAACAAAATGGAGATCATTCTGGAATTGGAGGAAATTTGATGAAAAAAACTCTACTCATCTTGGTTATGTAATAAGTAATAACTTACCTGGTTATTAATTTTTTTATCAAAAAATTTAAAAAAAATATATAGTAATTATACTTTATAGTTAAAATATGTATAAGTGATAAACGTATTATTTAATAAATATGTATTATTCTAAATGTACTTGGTATTATACAATTAAAAACTGTTTAAATAATTTTTAATAATTTTAATATTTAAGTTAAGATTGAAAAAGTGCCACCATAATGTATATTATACATAAATAATGTAGGTATATATAAAATATAATTCATCAAAAATTATAGAGTACAATTTTATTTAAATTAAAATTTGCTTTAATACACACACTATATTATTATAAAATAGGAAGAGTTATTACTTAAAACATTATATACAGTCATTATAAATGAATTCAAAAATTTTTTCTACTCTTTCTAAACATAAAGAATACATAAATAAATATTGAAAAATACTTAAATGAATTATTGTCAATTTTATATCTGATCGCCCTGGAGTGCATTTAATTTAATTGATAACAATTTTATAATCTACCAATTAGCAATCAATACATTTTCTGTGAATAACTCATGGCATAAGAAAAAAACTTAACACATTTTTTGTTGTATATCTGCATTATATTAACTAATATGTTATAAATATACCTTATTTTGTATAAAAAAATTAAATATTGTTTCAATTAAAAGACAATCTTTAGTTTTTAAATATCATTGTTTTACTTTCAGTTGTGTACACTAAGTAATTGTACCTACGATTAATTATTAGTGCTTTATTAAACGTACCTTGTTGGAACTATAATGTTTGCTCAATATTTATAATCTTATAAATAGTTATGTTTTTTCAAATTTCAAATGAGCCCCATTAATTTTTATTTTAAAAGCCATGTTGATTTAACATCTTATTAAAACAGTTGATGAAAAAATAAAGCTATTTGATTATTATTATAAAATAAATTGAATGTATCTTGTAATAAAGTGACTTAATTATCATAATTATTTATCATTTTATCATAAGTTATTTATAAAATGACAAGATAAAAATTTTGTAACAGCGAGATAAATATTCAAAAGGAACTAGTGGAAGAGATACACTCTTTTGATTAGGTAATAATTGAGGGAGGGGTTAACTTTACTTAACATTGGTTTTGGTTACACCTGTTTCTTCGGGCTAAAATTGTATACTACAAAAATATAAAACCAAATTTCATAGTTTTAAATTTTAATGGTATTTTGTATATTATTGATGAGAATAGTCATTAACCTCTCGATAAAAAAAATTAATTAACAACAAGTATTTTAAGTAAATAAATATATAATCACAATCAACATAGAATTGACTGAAACATTGAAATATTGGTTCAAAAGACTATTTTATAAGTACTGATGTATAATCTATATAAACTAAAACTATGATTTTTATCATAGAATGAACTTTCAAGAGTTTAACTACATCTTAATCTTTAGGTAAAAGTGCTGTATTATTTTAAACAATTTAGTCATTGGGTTATTAGTAGACGCAGCAATTATGCTGCTGTTAATTACAACAGATTTGTGTTTGTTTATAAACATTTTTTAATATTGTTTGTACATCCATGTTCTATATTAAAGGTAGAGTAATATTGTTAACAGTTTACATCTGATAAGCCATCTAACTGATTTTTACATATGGATATTTTTTTACTAGTATATACAAAGTAAACATAAATGTTTTGTTTTACCTATTTTAAAATAATAATTTAGAATGTTAAAAAAAACTACAACAAAATATATTAATATACAATTGATAAAAATAAATATTAAATATAATGAAAATTATTTGAAGTTGAGTAAAAAGTAGAACATTGAGTAAAAATCTGTAAATTTTACTGCCCCTAGATAATTAAAATATTTAGTAGAACACTTAAATTAACAATTTTTGTTTTTAAGATAAAATTATTATTTACAATATAATAATTAAACATTATTTTTTCATATCTTTTCCATACAATTATTTTTAGATAGAATTCGATAACAGCTTGCGGGCACATTTCATGAGCAACTTCAGCTTTTACTTTGGCAGCATCTTCTTTACTTTTAAGCTTCAACTCTATCATCACCAGTCCATTTTTCAATATTTAACACCTTGATTCTTCAACTTTAGGCTCTGACTCTCTTCATACGTCGCTAAACTAATCATCTTTGGATACATTAAATTCTATAGGCCTTTTTTTCAATGGAAGGGAAGTATTTTTACGTCCTCTAGATGGACCAGCTTCTGATGTAGATGGGCCAGGGTTTGATACTGATAGGCCAACAACTAAAATAGAAGGACCCGCGTCAGATATTGACTGGCTATCAGATGTAGCAGGACCATCGCTAGATGATGCATGATTTGTAACAATTGGATTTGGCAGTTTGCATTTAAGGTCAGGATTTTTTTGTTTAAAATTTTCAACTAAATGTGAACAGTTAAGATTCTCTTCAGGTTCCCAAGTATTATAAGAATCATCATAATCTTTCCACTTAAGAAAGTATTCGTTATAGCCATTGTTTGTACGGAAATTTAAAATGTTTTCAACCACATAGTATATATCTTTGGTTTCAGAACTAAAATAAAAATACATAAATATGTCGTTAATCAAATATAGAAATAGATTTATTATTTATTTTAAATATATTTGTTGCAAATAACAACCAAAAAGTGTTACTAAACTGCTTTTGTATACGTGTAACCTCTACAAGTTTTCAAATCATATAATTTGTATGATTTAATATATGTTAAAGGTAAAATATTATATTTATAATAAAATTATACGTTACACTATTTTAGTTACCTATGTTTAATATTAATAAAAACAATTAAAACTACAAAATGAAAATTTTATATTTGTAGACTAAAATAAATACCTAATCTAATCATTGTAAGAATAAGTTTGCCAGATGGACAGGAATCCAATAATTTATATCCTACAAAAATCTTAAACATATTGCCTAGATATGTAGAACATAAAAAGATGGCAGCATAAAATTACTAATGGCCAATGGGAAAACACGATTAGGTACGTAATAGGTATGTATTATCCATCTGTTAAAGCAACGGTAGATCTTGGTCCTGTTCGGAGAATGAAATACTCGCAATTCGTTTTTTAAAAAACAACCAAATCACAACTATTTTTCAAACAAGTATTTAATTTTATTAAAATCAAAATTGACTGTGGCGATGGTTAGTGAACCTGAAAGTTAACACAAACCAGAACGTGTAAAAGAAAAGTCCAAAAATCGTCGTTGGCAAGTGGCCTGGATGTAGAGGGGCTAAAGGGTGTTACATTTCCCCACGAGTTGGTTAGTTGGTACATTTGATATTAAGCCGCTAAGTCAGCAATTTAACAATATCATAATAAAAGTTTTTTATAGACAAAAAAAAGTTATTTAATTTAAATTAACAAATTTTATTACAGCTTATTTAGTTATTAGTTATATTATAAAATCAAAAATTTTAAATTATGCATGGTATAATTATGTATAATACATTTATGTTCTCTTTCTTGAATTCAATACTCGCGATAATGTGTTAAAAATAGATCAGGAGTTCAGTGCCGTGTTATTGCGCGGGTTTCTGACAATGGTTATCGATATATACGGTATTATTTAACACATTAGTGATTTACTAAAAAAAGGTCATCAGATAAAAAAAAAAATTTAGCCTAATAATATTTTATTTTACTTTATATATCGTGGGAGGGGCTGCAGCCCCCCTGGCTACACCACTGATTACTAGGACTCGGATTTTAAAGCAAATGTTTCTTTTTATATATTTAAGATAGAAATCTAATTGTATACATAAATTCGTTTCACGTTAATCTGATTCCAAATAAACGAGTTTATTTTTGCTTTTTTCAGTTATTCTAACTGTAGAATTTTTATATGTTTGTTATGCTATAGTAATAAAAAAAATGTTTATTTAATTAATAAGAAATGTGAAAACCCGCAATAATATTTTATAACATAAATATATAGAATATAGATATTATATTGGTTGCATCCGAAAACCGCACACTTTATTGATCATTATATAAAAAATTCCCCAAACTTATAGTGGTTAAAACCGTACACTATTTTTAGTGCTAACTAACGGATATGAAGATTATAAGATATACTGTAATAATCATGCTAACACGTTTTAATCTTTAGTCACCGCTCATTATTACTTTATTATGTATAGTATACTATACATGGATGGAGCAGGAATTATTATTTTCCTTTAATACATTGTTTTTTACCTTCTAAAACTGAATCTTGTTATATAAAAATGAGGGTCAATATTAAAAATTTATGTATGGAGCTAGGTTAAATTTTAACTATTAAAATTATCTATCTCGACTTTGAAATAGCTGCTCATAATGCCGTACAAAAAATATTTACTGGAGTAAAGGTTAAAGGTTGTAGATTCCATTTTGGTCACTCATTATGGCGGAAAATAATAACCTTCGAAGATCATATAGTAATCAAAATGAAACAGGTCAGTGATTAAAAATGTTTTTCGGATTATATTTTTACCAGTACATGAAGTCACTGAGACATTCGTTGATTTAATGTCCATATGTCTACCACAAGAAGCATATACTGCATTTGGAGACTACATTTTTGACAACTACATCGAAGGATAGTTTTCAATTGACATTTGGACCCATCCAATCAATGAAAATATGACTACAAGGATAACAAATGGAGCTGAAAGATTTCACCAAGGATTTAATTCTGAATTTTACATCCCTAATCTCAGTGGCGGCTCATAGTAGGCGCGATGGGGCGATCACCCCCCTTCTAAAATTATCATTTATTACAAATTTATAAGTTTATTATCAATTTTTAATTTTATATTGTAGTATAATATTATTAAAAATAAAAATTGTGTTTTCTATAATATTTACATTATTAAGTATTATGAAAACATTTTCAGATAATGGGAGTTTAAAAATAAATTATTCAACACTGTAGCTTCTGAAAATCGATAACCGAAAACGATTTACCAAGATCCGCGAGCAGCGCATGCCATGCTTGGGCGATGTTAAAAGTCGCTCGTCATAACTATGATCGGAATACAAAAACTAAGAAGGGGGAACACAATAATAATACTGCCGCAGGGGCGATGATTTTAATCGCCCGATACACATGGATTCCGAACTTGCGTATATTTATTATTTACTTTGTGTAGTCATAACTCGCAATCAATTATTTCAATTTGATATTTTTTTCCAAAAATATATACTGGAATTATTAAGCTTTTAATCATGGATTCATCCACACATAAAAATTGTATTAAATTAATTTAATTAAATAACCATTATTAATATTATTTGTGTTCGATACCTACTTTCCATAAATAAGCAATTTTATATCGCCCTCCCACTTTCAAAGCACACGAGCCGCCACTGCCTAATCTATCTGTATTTATGGTTATTGATGTTTTACGAAATATTCATATCGATACAGTAACGATAATGAACCAGTATCATAATGGAGTGCAAAACATTGTCCGTCCAATTGAAAAACAAAAACAAGTTAGTAAATACGTAATAGTAATATTTTCGATTATTAACTAAATTTTATTTATTTTAGAAGCACTCATTTAAATGGTAAGATGAATTTTTAATAGACAGAGATTGTTTGAAGTTTTTAAAAAATGTTGGTAATAGATTTCAGCCAATCAAACTTTAAACATTTTACACATTTTATATTTTTAAATACTCGTATATGCATATTTTTGTTTGAATACATTTTAACATTTTTTAAATTTGAATACTTGTATATATATATTATATTACTTTGTATATATTACTTTGTATATATATTTTTTTTTCTAATAAATTATAAATTATTATTTATTAAGTATATCTAATCTAGGTAAAAATAACTTTTTTGGGATTGAAATTAAGTGTGTGGTTTTTGGATACAACAATTTTAAAAATAGTGCGGTTTTAACCAACCAAAAATGTGCAGTTTTGTTCTGTACTTTATCAAAAGTGTGCTGTTTTAGGAATCAACGATTATATTTTACCCATCGTCAGACCGTGACCGTACCATTAGTGTGAACCGACTTTAAACGTTTAGATTATCGATCTACAAACAGCTTATCGGCTATTGCACATAACCTTTAAAACCTACGCTCAGCACTCGTATAACACCGATATCGACCAGTTTAACATTTAAGCTTTATAGTGCTCTATAGTGTCGCAATTTATAAAAAGGCTAAAAGTTAAAACAAATGCATTTAATTAGTATTAGAATTTGATGAAGAATTTTTTCAGACAGATGAATCGATTTTATATTGCAAACTATGTGATATAAAAGTGTCACATAAAAAAAAATATAATGTACAACAGCATGAACGGAGAGAAAAAGACACGAAAATAAAGTCTGCATTACTTCAACCAATTTTACAACAGTTTAGTAGTCAGTCAGATTTTTAATGCCGATTTATGTTCAACATTGGTATCTGCAAATATTCCAATTAACAAACTAAATAATCAACATTTTCGTTAATTTTTGACAATGTATTGCAAAAAAACTTCCTAACAAGTCGATATTACACAAAAGATATTTCAATTAATGTTATGAAAATACATTGGTAAAAATTCGTGATACAATAACAGATTAAAAAATATGGGTGTCTATTGATGAGACTATGGACTCTGTACGTCGTAATGTTGCAAATGTAATAGTGGGCATATTACAACTACAAAATCCAATATGTTCGTAATTCACACAGAATACTTGGATAAAGTTAATTATAGTACAATATTTCAACTATTCAATAAATCTATGCATATTTTATGGGAAAATGGTATAAAACATAACGATGTTTTGCTGTTTGTCTCAGATGCGGCACCTTATATGAAAAAAGCTGGTGATTTTATAAAAGCACTTAGACAAAACTCATACATGTGAATTTCTTGGCACATGCATTACACAATGTTTGCGAAGAAGTACGTGCAAACTTCCAAAATATAAATCAGTTGATTGGAGGAATGAAGAAAACGTTTTTAAAATGTCCCAAACGTACTGCGATCTTTAATGAGAAATGCTCAGAATTGCCAAATTTACCAAGACCAATAACGATCAGATGGGGTACATGGATCAAAGCTGTCCAGTATTATTGCAAATGTTTTAATGAATTAAAAAATATTATTGAAGACTTTGAAGAATAATCTCAATGTGTTAAAGTAGTAAAACATTTATTTCAAAATGTATCTCTTCAATCAAATATTGTGTATATTTCAACCAAATTTGGAGTTCTACTAGATATAATTACAGCATTAAAGAGAAAAGTTAACTTTTAACAAAGTATTCACAATTTAACATTCTAATATTAAATTATATGTATAATTTTAGGCGAATCGTTGACGACATGTCTTAGATGCAAAAAAGAAGTTAATGGAGATATTGCAAATGCAATTTCGGGTAAACTAAATCGTGTTCTTATGAAAAACAAAAGCTGGAAACAATTGCTGGACATTAATAATATACTGTGTGGCGTTTCATCAATCGAATTTAATTATTATAGGTTTGATTTAAACGAAACCTCTTGCATGAAGTATGCTGTATGC